ACAATTAACTAACTCAATCCACCCCTTGCCAACCTGGCACCTGTATATAATTCTTAGCTTCACAATTGCAATTAAGTAACACCTATACCTTAACCCTATAATCCTGTGAATTTTTTCCCCTACCTATGAACATTTGTAAGCCAACCACTTCATGCTTTTATCTCCCCAAATTTTGGGTATCCAATTTAGGTGGATTGTGATAAGAGCTTTAAGAACCCCCAATAAAATGATTAAAAAAACAAACCAACAAACAAAAAAACACATGTAGCAAAATACCAGTAAAAAAAAAAAAAAAGATTCTTAAATTGACCTACCGCTGACTGATGACATCGCTCAGAGATACAGCAAAGCTTCACTGTCAGAATATTAATTTTATAGGCATAAATACAGTAGTCAGGTAATCCGATATTGCAACATAAATTCTGACACTTATGTGCATTCCAGCATTTATTTAAATTAAGTAATGGGGACACCTTTTAAATAAAAGACATTAAGAAATAAGAGCACACCTTTCCACTCTGACTGTGAGGTCCTCTGCAGGTCTTGGATCTGAACACTCACTCCTGGGCTCCTGAGAGGGAGTGGGGTGGCCTGCACTGTCTCCTCCTTAATTAGATAAAAAGGAAAAAGAACACTGTTTTTAATACTAATTTTAGAGATAAAAATCTTTACCTTCAACATGTGTTAATACTCTTATTTCTTAAACATTCCATATATTCCTAAGAGTACAACTAGAGATACGAAATGGGCTCATACTAAAAAATGGGCAAGAACAACGAATGAAATGGTGGGCACAGGGGAAGGGGAGGGCTGCAGCCACACTGTGGGGAAATTAATCGCTATCACAAACCAAAATGGGAATGAAGTATTGAATGGAAAAACAATTTGCTCTAAAAAACTTTACCCAAATCACACTAAAAGTTATGAATAAATGAGCTATAACTATTTAGGTCAGGTTAAAATAGTGTAATAAGTAAGGCAGCTCCCCAGACAGAGGTAAAACATGAAAAAACATCAAATAACCTGGCAGGAGGGGATACAGCCAGAGCAGACCATGTGCACCTTGAAAGCAGTGCTGACCAAGATACTAGCTACGTACGCAGGGCTACTAAGCTTTTGAAATGAGGTTAGTGCATTTGAAGGGCTGAACTTTTAAAAGTATTTTAGTAAATTTTAAATAGTCTTATGTGGCTATGTCTATGATATTGAAGTTTGATCTTAGTTATGGTTCTAGACTTGTTAGTTCCACAAATCTAATTATATAGGCCAGAGTAATTCCTTACTTAATACTCCCTTCCTGGCCAACCTCTTTATAACTTCTATCAAACAACTAGGAATATGTAAATGTGAGGTGCTGTGGCCCACCAAAGGGACTGACTGGAGTGTGTACTATGAAGTGCGATTTCTTAATATAGCTCTTCTAGCTATAGTTCCTTTTGTAATGCAAATTCTACCCTCTATGTTGGTGGTTATAATCCTATTTCGGAATGAGTTCTATTAAGGTAAGGAGTCCTGGTGATAGAGGGCTTACAAGCTGGCTTGTGATCCAAAAGGTCAGACATTCGAAACTACCAGGGGCTCCTTGGGAGAAAGACAGGGCTCTCTACTCCTGAAAAGTTACAGTCTCGGAAACCCAGAGACAGTTCTACCCTGTTCTATAGGTTGCTGTGAGTCTACATCCATTCAATGGCACTGAATGAACTGCTATGCTAATGGACAGAATTAAGGTGGATGTATTCCAAGTGTCCACCTCACTAGAAGGTATGATTCAAGTCACAGGCCTTTGTTTCCTCTGGGGTATGTTCTGCTGAAAGCCAAAAACCGCACCTCCATCAAAGCCATTTCTCTGACAACCATCCCAGAGGAAGAGGGGAAGAACCCTGAGACTATCAGATCCCTTCCTAAAGTGGTGGAGGCCACGACCAGACAACCCAGACGCCAAGGCACATAAATAAAGGGATAGAGTGAAGGTGCACATTGAGACCAAGGCAGAGGGACCATGCCTCTGAAACCACAGACTGTGAAACAGTGAAGGAGAGTTACCAGGTGGGCTTCCTGGCCCATGGAAGCAGAAGTCAAAGGCTGCGATGCTGAGGACCAGAGACTTGGCATCTGGCTGGGGCGAGGTACTACTGTGGACCAGTGACTGTAACCTTACTGTTTACTGATCCAGATGTGTGCTAACCAGCTAACTTCCTTACTACATTCCAGTAATTCTAAGTGTTGTCTGTGAGCTCTGTGTGGCCACTGCAACAAATTACTAAACCCAGCAGAAAAGAGTGTTCGTGGGAGGAAAGACTGGTGTCAGAATGGGGTAAAGAAAGATGGCGAGTAGAGGCATGTCTGACTTCTGCCTTGTGGCAATCGGCCCCAGGCTGATGTGGAGCTGGACACTCTTTTTTCCCTAGAGGTCAGATGTGGGTACCACTATGTTTTCTCACTTGCTGGTCATGTACATAAGAGGACATGGTATCCTTGTAAGTGGGGCCATGCAAATAATCGCAGGGATTAGTCAGCTTTGCATTCCTGTTAGATTGAAATTGGGCCACCACAGCGGTGGAAATGGGGAATCTCACTACCATCAAGAAGGGGGTGGCAGGAGTACAGCACAAACTTTTGAGTTCCCTACACTGAACTTTCTCGGTCCAGGAGACAGAGAGCTATGATATCAGAGATGGTAAGAAGTAAGTAATAAAGTAGCAGAGGCAACAAAACCAGGAAATCAGTAAGAGACTGGCTTCAGGCAAGATGCTTAGCAGTAGAGTGGAATGCCTCCTGGGCAGTTAATCAATAGAGCTATGTTTGTTGGCCTACAGAGCTAGCATTAAGTACCTTCAGGTCAAGACTTATTGGCAGAAATGGCCATTATTCATTGGCAGAGCTAAAGGAGCTTTACAACTTGTCAAAGGAGGACATGGATAGTGGAAGGAACCAGCCAATATCAGAGGTCAAGAACCAGAAAGAAGTATGCCTGTGAGCATGGATAAGAGAAGGCTGTCCTGATCGAAGAACTGTACCCTCAGTGTTTCTAATTCTAAAATGTAACCTGTTAGTTTCCCTAGTAAACCCCATAATTGTGGGTACTCTGGGTTCTGTGTGGTCAGTGCGAAGAATTATTTCACTCAAAAGTAGAGAATACTTTGAGAAGAGCAGAAGTGGTTAGAAAAAAAAAAAGTGAGGGGCAGAAGCAGGTCTGACCTCTACGTCATAGGAATGGCCTTGTACTGATGCTGACAGTGATCCTCCTGGTCTTCCTCCCAGTGAATTCAGAGGAGGGCAAGACACCATCCCCATACCGTTGTTGCAGAGGCGATTTATTTTTACACTAGTATGATTATAAGGATTTCTTTTTTTAAGGACTAAATTTTGTCCTAGCCTTTTCTAGCAGGCAGACAGGCCTGGAACTTCTGTCTTTTCTTTCCTTACCACTAACCACCAACTTGATCCTTCTTCTCATTTATGATCTTGTGAGGAGCAAAGGTTATGGAGTCACAGAGCCTGGGTTCACATACCAGTTGTCAGTTACTTAACCTCTCAGTGACTCACCTGTAAAATGAGTATAATAATTGTGAATGATGGCAACAAATGTACAAATGTGCTTGACACAATGGATGTATCTATGGATTGTTTAGAGCTGTATGAGCCCAATAAAATGATTTTTTAAAGTTATTATGAATTAATACAAATAGTGCTTAGAACTTTACTGAGGCTGACAAATTAAAAGTACTTTAGTTATCACAGTAGTAGTATAAATTATTTCTACTAAGAATTTCTTATGAATAAGTTTCTTTTATGTTCAAGGAATTTTTAGATTTATCACTGAAAAAACAACTTTTAAAGCTGAAAATGTAGGGGCTGGCCCCAATCCCAACTATGTGGACAGCTGCCTGTCCCCCCAAAAGAATTTATTTCAGAGGACAGCACTGAAGCTGCAGCTCAGGGAGAGCGACATGTCTGATCAGAGCACACGGGAACAAATGAAGGGGGAGGAAGAGAGAGTGGTCCACCAAGCCTCGATGACGATATTCCCGCTCAGAGCAGCCAATCCACAGAGAAGACCAAATGGCCGGCCCCACCATGAGACATGACATCCCTCACTGACCCATAGGCCTATTGGAGACATAGTGTGCGAATTGCACCCAATCTGATTCCACCACACCAAGGCAAAACACTAAGGGCGTGCAACAAAACAGCAAAGGGAACAGAACAATGAAGTCCCCAGGGAATACCAAAAATAGACTTTGGGGTCATGGCTTGGGACCCCATCAGATTCAACCGGAAAACACTCCTAAAGGCCAACAAACAGTCCTTGAACTAACTACAAGCATTTCTTTTTTGTTGTGCTGTGATTTTGTTTTGTTTTTGTCATTGGCTTTTTGTTGTTTTGTTTTCTTTTATTGCTTGGTTTTGCTCTGTCTTGTTTTTGTGCATGATATTATCTCCGCAGGTCTGTCTAGATAAAATAGGCTGGATGAACAATCTGGAGGTGAAAACAACGGGACCAACAGTTCCAGGGGGACATGGGAGAGGGGAAGCTGTGGGGAAAGGAAGTGGTGTTAACAAACCCAGGGACAAGGGAACAAGTGATCCAAATCAGTGGTAAGGAGGGTATAGGAGGCCTGGTAGGGCGTGATCAAGGGTAATGTAATTGAGAGGAATTACTGAGACCCAAATAAAGGCTGAGCATGATAGTGGGACAAGAGGAAAGTCAAAGGAAATAGAGGAAAGAGCTAGGAGGCAAAGGGCATTTATAGAGGTCTAAATAAAGGCATG